TTCGCGGATCTCCTGCTTATGCATAGCGTTATCGAAGCTCATCTGCTTCTTCAGGCGCTCCAACTCTTCCCTCAGGTTATTGGTCTGCGTTGAGACCAACTGTTGGGAAATGGATGGCGTCTTCGGCTTCGTATTGGCCGACGAGTTCGACGACACAATCGGGTGGGAGTTGTTCGCGAGGAGTGAACTCTGATTGGATTGCATTCGATGTGATGGAGAGGTGGAGGCAGAGGATGAGGTCGATGACGAGGAAGTGGTTCGCAGTATTTTACTCGCGCGAAGAGCTTCGGCTACGTTTCGTTTACCTACCCGTGCGGTGCGGGCGCACGCCTTCACGTCCTCTTTGTTCTGTACATTTGTTTTCGTGTCTAAAAACGTAAGATTTTCATTAATTATCAGATTATTCCGTTTTATAAGCAAGGTAATCGTACTTTTATTCAATAGAATCGTCGACTCATTGCTTATCTTAATTTCAGACTTGAATTCATCCAACACTTTATCACTCGTGAGACTAAAAACGCCGGGAATTACGGGTTTGGAAGCGTTTGGTGAGCTGTCATCCATGTTCTTGTCGGCGGTGTCACTGCTATTAGTGTTTGCATTAGTGTCGATATTATTAGCATTACCATTACTATTATCTGAATTGTTGGGCGACTTTTGACCGGTATTTAGCGATTCACTCGCAATGAGTCTATTATAATAGTCGTTGTCTTCTTCACAAATGAATATCTCTTTCGGAGAAAACGGAGTCTTTTGTGGCGAGTATTTAAACTTATCGGCAAATTTGGCGTTCAATCTGTCGATATGAACGGCCAGTTCCCTCATTGCACTCTCGAACTTAGATTTATGGGTTTTGTTAGGTTTGGAACCGGGATGTACTTCCGATACCAACCAACACGAGTCTGCTGTCACCCAAGCGCTGCACAAAATGCCAACAATTAATGACTCAATTATTACTCAATTTTATGATAAACTAAATGTCTTAAAAGTATCGTTAAATCAAAAACAATTATAACTACAGTAATACAGTATATACCGTAGAATTGAATGTAAATACAGAATGTGCTAAAAATATGGACAACCAGTGGACAGACATACCGGTCATGAGTGCCGAAGAAGCGACAGTCGACTTCGTTTTGTTTGCCGCCATTGTGTCGGACAATCTTCGCGGGCCATAAGGGGTAACCCTTGACTCTGGCGAAGACCAACTGATGCGGTCGACGGCAGGGTTCGGCGAACGAGGTGTCGGTGATGGTGTAGAAGTTGCGGAAACAGTCCGGACAGATCTCCATCTCGACCATCTCGTTCTTCGCCACTCGAGACAAGTACTTAGCGTTTGTGGTCAACGGATGATTGCTGTGGTTATAGATAATGCAGTTGTGGACAATCCATTTGATGTCCGCCAGAAAGGCCGCCTGAGACCTATACCAGTGGTTCTTGATATTCCTGTCAATGGTGGACAGATCCATGGGATAGTGGACTAATTGGTGGTAATCGGGGAACACGATGGGAGAGACGGGTTTGTGAAACGTCGGGTCCGCCGACTGACGGATCGTCTGCAACGCAAACGTCAACAGTTGGGACATCTCTTCGGCCGACATCTGCGCCAACCGTGACTTGACGGGTGGGGGCGAGTCGTCGGTGCCGTCCGGGGATGGCGTCAAATCTGCCTCTTCTTTGAGAACGTCTTTACACTCGACACAAACCCAGGAGTCAAAGGACTTGCCGTTAGTCTTGCTTTTCGTATCACTTATGGCGTTATTAGCTGAGGAGGAAGTGTTGGCGGGAATACACTTGAGATGATAACTACGGGGACACTGTTTGCAGACAATATTACTCTTGTCTTTATGACACACCCAACAGAACCGGTCTCTCACAGCACCGGTAGTCTGTGGGCCGGCAGTCGAGCCCATGCTATCCGGGTCTTCGGGTTGAGTGGGAGCCGCACACGAGTCGCTAAATGTGTGGTCAAACAAGACATCAATAAGTGGTTGACATTTATATTCACTTATTATACAAAGTTTTGACATTCATTTGAATCAATGGTTTGTGAGAAATGTGTTGAAAATGCATTCAAGACTCAAATGAATGCTATGTTTTTGAGCGCTATTTGCAAGCAATGATCAAATGTATGGTGTGTTTAGTGATAATCAATACCTGTTGTCATAGTTGGTGGTGAACGTGGATGAGTGTGGATGTGCTGTCTGTGCCATATGTGTGTCTTTAAGATCACATGCGGTGCTGATGTCCATCAATGGCTGCAAATGATGGCCACTATTCACGTCATAATCGCCGATATTTTCGTACATTTTCTCCAAACTATGGTTTGTTTCGCACTTCAATTGACTCTCAATTTCCATATCATTTGCAAAATATGTCTAAAATATCGCAATTAATAAAACCTTTGAATTCAAAACAATTGAATGTTTTTGTTGTAAATCTCATAAACAGTGGCGAAAGAGGCGGCGATTTGTGGCCATCACTGGCGTGCAGTCCATGTGAATGGCATTAATGTGTTCACAATAGCCGTGCTTTGGGTCACACTTGCGGTCAATACATGCATTCAGTCACTCATTATGTCATTAGAAATGCATTTATTTATTGTTTTCATAGAAATACAGTGTGTTTGGGATATACTGTAAGAAAATATGATTTCACAATAAAATGCCTCAAATCTATTGCCCAGAAGTCAACATTAGATGACAGCACACGCTATGCCACACAGGGATTCCTATATTCTCCATATGCCGGCCCTATACTGTATTCTCTATGCTATTTCAATGGGAAAGTTAGTCGAAACTGATAGATATGCCATTTGATGGCTTTTTGTCATATTTGATGTCAAGTTATGCTGAATATGATGCATATATAAGTTATATAACACATCCCTGTGCGATGACATAACAGTGTTATCGTATTAGACTATCATGTAATACACGTATATTTATAGAGTATTACCACTACTCGTAGACAACAACTGTTATGCAATGATATCTGTAATGAGGGGTGAATTGCCTTATGTCTGATACACTCATTCAATAAACTTTTAATTGGTGTTTAATTAGTTTTAATTTAATTATTTATTGAAAATATGTTGTCATTAGATATTTTTATTTATTTTAAAGTTCTATTGTTTAATCATTAAGGCTTAATGTTATATAGTTTATAGAATCACAGAATATTCTTATTCATGTTACTAATGAAATATAAGCAAGAATAATGCAATTATAGTGTTAAAACATAAATGAATAATACTTATTAAGTTATATGAATGAAAATTGTAGTTTTAGTTAGATATTAAGTAAATTATTTGATTTTAAACACAGTTATTCAATATATTCTATTATTTTATTGACAAATTTGTTATAATTTAATTATAAAATTAGTATTTATTATATTTTTATTACATGAAATATAACAATATATTATAATTTATAATACAGTAGCTTAAGAAAATTTTAATTCTTAATTTATATGGAAAGTTAATTATTGTCACTATCATATATAAAAATTAATCAAGTGTGAATGTTTGAGTGTTATTTTCTACCATTAATTGATAGCTAAATTTTACAAGAACAATTAACAGTTTTAATTTTGCTAAAAAGTACCATAATAATGCCATATACATAATCAATAAATCATTTAAATGTTTACTCATAAATGGACATGATAATTATTTTGAGCATAAAAATAACGGTTATGACAAATATCTGTAAAAGAGAAATATTTAATAAAAATAATGTTAAATTAAAATATTTTTTTTTAATACAACACTTACTTCATAAAAATGTTGATAATTTATGATAAAAAACTTATAGCAATAGAAACCGATCCTCTTTTGACTCAATTTTTCCACATTTGATAACAACTAAAATATAAAAAAAATAACTATAATATAATTTTAATTATTTCTAAATGATTAGTTAAACACGAATAAAATTATTAGTATTTATATTATACCTTAATTTTAAAATCTGACGGAATTGTGTGTTTGTGTTTGGTATACAGAATTTGTATAAATAGTTTATAAGTCTGATGAGTTTCTAAATTGATGGCAGATGTGCTTGTTAAGATTATGATTAAGATGAATGACCACAACACCGATATGTATAGGAAAATGATTTTCATGTATGAACTGATATCCGCGTATAGAAACGTAAATAGACCAAAATTATTGACACCAATATTACATGAAATCAGTATAAATAAATATTTTGACCAAACATTTGCATTTAAATTAGTAATTTCTTTATGAATTGAATGCACAGAATGTAGGATTCTCTTCATTTCCAATAAATTAAAAGTTTTTGTTGATTTCAGTTGTGATCTAATACTTAAATTTATACATTTTGTCTTAAGTTGTAAGTAATAGCAAATTAAATAAAAATAGATCATTTGATAGATAACATGAATACCCATATAATATACAACTAAATTATTTAACGTAATCCACGGAATGCAGAATATAATAAAATCAACAAAATTTGTAGCACTTGTTAAGTAAGGGATAAAAATAATAAGTCCACAGAGAGGAAAGGTATTCAACAATTTGGTTGACAACTTGAAAAACAATTTTGATCTTTTCATGAATTGTTTTGTATAGTCACTGTTTGTGAGACCAATACTTAGCGGTGATACCAAACCAGACATCATATCAAATGGCTTTAAAAACAAAGGTTTACTGCCATTATTATAATGCAAATAATGAGCTAATTGAGATAATAAAATTAATATGACGGCAATAGTTTGCATTAAATTAACGTGATATCTAGCCCTTTTATCCAGAAAGTGTTCCCAGTCACCTAATATTATGTTTACTCTATCGTCGCTTTCATTAAAATTGACTAAAATTAAATTTCTTAAGCAAAGAATTGAAGCCATTATACGAACGAGTATTGGATTATATATTTTGGATCTCTTTTTCAACCCATATTTGAATGAAGAGACACCATATCTGTATAAATGGATTCCAGCAGTAGGTATAGCAAAAGATTGGGGGATTGTTTTTGATAAATCCATATCTTTAATATCTTTCATGATTAAACAGATAATTACTACAATTTAAATGAGAATTATGTTTGACACCAACTATGCTTATAAAGTTTATACTGTAAACCCTTAAGAAATACAGTAGAAAATGTTACAATTTCTTAAAATATCAGTACAATAGATGAACTTAAGAGAAATACTTTGTGATATAAGAAAAGTTTTTCATAACTCAACAATGTTCATGATTCTTAATTTTACGACTTATTGATTATTAGTTGCATTCATGTAAATAAGAATTAATTATATTTCAGTTAATACAGTGTACAATTTCATATACTGTAAGTGTACAGTGTACAATTTCATATACTGTAAGTGTACAGTGCACTGAAACAGTATTATTTTAACGGAGATGTGAATAATTAAAATCTTATTGACACTTGAAAGCATGCAATATTGAAATTAATTTACAGGTGATATGGAGTCATGAGATTTAATGTCTTAATTTAATTTAGTTCACAAATGAATTTAAACAATATTTGTTGCTATTTTTATTTGTAATATCAAATTTTAACAACTTTTAAATTCTGTAATATAGAAATTTAATATAGTTTAAAGTCTTTAAAGAAAAATAAGTTTTTACTCATAAAATGAAATATCAATAATTTTTAGCATAAAGATAATCCATATAATTATAATCTGCAAAATAAAAATTAAATAATTTAAATAATTTTAAATTTTAATGTTTAATTAGTACTTACCTCATAAAAATGTTTGTAATCAATTATAAAAAATTTAAAACAATAAAAACCAATTCGGTTTAGACTCAACTTTTCCACACTTGAAATCAACTGCAATTAAATCATTTATTTAACTGCTTTTTAAACTTTTAAAATAAGGGTATATTATAACTTACCTTCATATTAATATCCAATGAAGTTGTCTTTAAGTACAATATTTGCAAAAATAGTTTATAAGTTTGATTTGTTTGGAAATTAAGTGCCGACGCACTGATGAGTATTGTGACCAATATAGCCGACCAGAGGACAGCCACGTATAGAAATAGGAATTTCATAAACCATCCGATATTAGCAAATAATACAGCGAATAGAGTTAAATTATTAACTCATATACTACAGACAATGAATATACAGATAATTTCTGACCAATTATTTCTATTAATGACATCAATTTCTTTGTGAATTGAATTTGCAAAGCTAATCAAATTTCTCACTTCATATCTATTAAGACGTTTTGATGAATACAATAAAGATTTTATATTAGAGTTTAAAGATTTTGTTTTAAATATTAAATATAAAGAAATAAAATAAAAGTAAATGGTTTGATAGATGACGAAAATGCCCATATAATACACAACTAATGAATTGAATATAAGCCATGGAATTGAAAATAAAATAACTTCAAGAAAAGTTGTCGCGTTAATAATAATTTGTGAGAAAAGTAATACACTCACTAGTGGAAAGGTGGTTAACAATTGGGATGCCAACTTAAAAGCTAATTTTGCTTTTCTCAACAAATAATTTACATCTTTTACACTATTGAGAGCAATACTTAGCGGTGATAACAAACCAGACATCATATCAAATGGTCTCAAATATAAAGGTTTCTCTCCATTATCATTGTGATGATAAAAGTGCGATAATTGTGACATTAATATTAAAATAATACCATTCAATTGAAAAATAATTAGATGAAATGTCGGTCCCATAAAGTGAGTCCAATCGCCGAGCATTATGTAAGTGCTATTGTCATACCTTTTTGTCATAAATAAGATAATCAAATATCTGATACAAAAAATGAGAGTTAATGTGAAAACAAGGAGTGGGTTATGTATTTTGGATCTCTTCTGTACTCTATTTCCATATAAAGAGACTCCATATCTGTATAAATGAGTTCCAGAGGAAGGTATTGCAAGAGTTTGTGGCAGAGTTTTACCTAAATTTAAATCTTTCGTCGCCATAATTATTAAAACTATTATATTAAAAGCAAACCTATTATATTGAATATTTTCTATTTAAAATTTCAAAACTTTAATTTTAAGATTCAAATTATAAACTTAAATAAACATTACTGAATAAATGTTGAAAACTACTATTGTAGAATTTTATTAAAATAGGAAAAGTCATGTTACTGTATAATATTTGAAGACAATATTAATATCTTATACGCACACATTACCAATAAATAAGTTATATTCCTCTAACAAAAGGTTACACCTAGATGCTATTAATCTTTACTATTTTGATATAAAGTTTATACTGTAAACCCTTAAGAAATACAGTAGAAAATGTTACAATTTCTTAAAATATCAGTACAATAGATGAACTTAAGAGAAATACTTTGTGATATAAGAAAAGTTTTTCATAACTCAAAAATGTTCATGACTCTTAATTTTACGACTTATTGATTATTAGTTGCATTCATGTAAATAAGAATTAATTATATTTCAGTTAATACAGTGTACAATTTCATATACTGTAAGTGTACAAGTGCACTGAAACATTATTATTTTAACGGAGATATGGATAATTAAAATCTTATTGACACTTGAAAGCATGCAATATTGAAATTAATTTACAGGTCATATGAATCATGAGATTTAATGCCTTAATTTAATTTAATACACAAATGAATTTAAACAATATTTGTTGCTATTTTTAGTTGTAATAT